ATTCCTCCAACATATCTCAATTCCAACCCAAACACCAAGATCAACATTTAAATCACTAATCTATCCTCAAAATCAACCAAAAGAGGTGTTTAAAACCCAATAAAACTCAGGATGTTACACAAAACAGGTGCACTTTCGGGCCAGTATTGCTTTTTTTTTTTTTTTTACATTGTATTGTTTGTTTTTATTGGCCTTTTGAAGATAAAAGAGGTCAAAAAATTAATAACTATATAAATTGTAGAAAGCCCAATTATAAACAAACAAATAAGAATTTTGACTATAAAAGATACTGAAAAAAAAATCTAAAAAAGTGAAAATCACATGGGAAAAAAAAAACACTAATGTTATGTTCAATCATTAACATCACTCGGAGTTTTATTTTAGTTTGGCTGAAGCTTCTTAAAGTGCTACCAAATAGCATATTTTTGCCTCTTACTTGTTGGTTCATCTTCTCCTTCACCCTCAATGTTGTCAAACCTGTCTTTTTGCTCTTGAGTGATAGGTGACTCTCCTATAGTTTTACTATCGCAGTCTTCCTGAGGGGTTTGTGTAATAGACATCTCTATTCACAAAATTAATATCATCAAATAGAATTATCCAAAATTAAATTGAAAATCAAATTCAAGAAAAAAGCTGCATCATGATATGATAGCATTCACTTTCTCATTTAATATGTTAGTATGTAGTGCGTAAGATACATATATATCAAATATTATAGGGCCTTGTGATTTTTTCGAATTTCTTTCTATTGTGGCCTTCAAATTCCGTTCAGGCGTTCACAATCATATAATACATATATATAATTATATATAGACATATATCTGTGTGATTGATATGGTGCGATTTCCTTCAAAATTTTTGATGTCCACGAATGATTGATGATAATTCTTCCTATCCTAAATGACCCAAATCAGAATTTCTCCTAAAAAATCTCTAGCACCTAACTGCCCGTGAACCAAAAATCTATTGTATAAGCCACCCATTATGCAATTGAATAAAAACAAGAAATCAAGATTAGGAAAGAAAGTTAAAATATCAATAACTAACCTGGACATACGAACGATTTGCAGGAGAATTCGGCCATTTGTGGAGATCAAGAGCAACAGTGAGACCGTGTTTGAGAGAGAGACTTTGGAGGGATTGAAGCTGAGGTTGAGAGGGAGCGACTGAGCATGAAGGAGCAAGCAAAGCAAGAATTAGGACTTAGGGTAGGAAAAAGGCAAATGAGAATTTTAATAATCAAATTAAAAAGAAAATAAATAAGCAAATATCCCAAGACGAGACGGGACCTGTCCCATCCCGAATTGACTGGGATCAAGATGAGATAAGTTGAACACCTCTAATACTATATATTTATGAAGTAATGGATAGGGCCAAAGAAGAGATTACTGATAATTTTGAAAAGAAGAAATTAAGGTATAAAAACATATGAAAGATTATTGATATTTGTTAGAATTTGCAACTAGGGGTGAGCAACAAACCCATTACCCGCTAGCCCGCCCATGACCCATGAAATTTTTGCCCATTTAAGCCCGCCCAATTAGCCCAACTAAGATTATAAACGGGCGGGCTTAAATGGGCTGGGTAGCCTATTAAACGGGTTGGGCTATGGGCAAGGTATTGGGCTGCCCATACCCGCCCGTTTAAGTTTTAATTTTTTAAAAATATTTTTATTCTTCATTTAATTGATGATATTGTTTTTCATTCATCTTTTATCAAACCTTCATGCTTGTCTAAGCTTTTATTTTATCCTTTAGGTGAAAGTTGGAACTTTCAAAGTTTATGAGACTTTATGATTAGTGACTACTTTTATGATTTTATCAGACTTTGATTGTTTGCGAATCTAAGTGAGGTTGTGTGATTGAATATGATTGATGTTATTTCATATTTGATTTGCTATTTGGCATGCAAAATTTATTAACAGCTTCATAAGATTACATATACAAAATAATTATACTGAAAAAATTTAAAAAAAAATAAATGGGTTACCCCGTAACCCGGTTAGCCCAAACAGGCTGCCCCGTAACCCATTTAATACGGGTTAAATGGGCTACTACCGGGTTATGGGTTAGCCCATGCCCATTTATGAATAAATGGGCGGGCTATGGGCTAACCTTCGGGTTAGCCCACCCCGCCCATTGCTCAGCCCTATTTGCAACTCATGGATACCTCCATGCAGTTATCTACTTTCTTAATTCTAAGTAAGTTTATACATTTTAAAGTTAAAATTTAAATATTTATTGTTTAATTGTATGTAAGAAAAACATAACTTATCCATTAGTTTCTTAGGTTCCATTATAATGAAAAATTTGATGCGTATCAAGAAGTTTATTTTGGTTTATATAAAACTATTGAGAGAACGATTCTGCATAGAAAGACAAGATTTTTAGTTAATTAACAACTTGAGGCATTCAAGTTTGCTAAGGGGCTTTTCAAAAGGAGCATGGCAATAAATATTAAAAACAAAAAGCAACATGGTACCGTTCTCTAGTCTATACTGTTTATAAGAATTTAATTTTTAATTTAATAATAAATTTGAATTTTGGAAAATATTTCTAATTATTGTATGTTTTTTAGCTCTTTGGTGGGAAAGTTATGCAGGAGAAGGCAAGGAGTTACAAAAGATAGCCCTGAGAATTTTGAGTCTCACATGTAGTGGTATTGGATGTGAAAGAAATTGGAACACATTTGATTAAGTGCATACTAAATGAAAAAATTACTTAGAGCAACAAAAGTTTTGTGAAGTACAACCTTAAGATGAGATGAAAGATTAGAGAGGAAAAGGGAGATATATATAATACAATCTGTTTATCAAATATCGAATTTGATGATGAGTGGATCATTGAAAAAAAAAACCCGTGCTTGCCAGTAGATAGGTCATGGATGGACATATATGAGAGTTTCATTCTTGATGAAGGAGCTCCAAGCAAAAAAAGAAGAGAGGTTTAATATTTTAAACTAAACTTAAGTTGATTTTGGTTGAAATATATACCATTATGTTTACTAAGTTTTTTTCCTAGATCCAAGAAACTTGAATGCCAAAGCCAATAGCAAAGGGAAATCTATAATAGGACAAGATAATGTTGAAGATGCGAGAAAAGAAGACAAAGAAGAAGACATTGTTAATGGATAATAATCATGAATTGAGTGACATTGATCTTAGAGACCATGAATGATGAGTTGAATTTTATGTTTAGTGACTTTAGTCTTTTTAAGTTAGGATTTTGATTTTTGAATTGATGATTTGGGGGACTATTTGTCTTTGAAATTTCATATGTTGGCTTTTTTGGGAAATTTTTTTTTTAGGTGTATAGCATCTAATATTTGCAAACTTTTCATTTTTTTATATAAAAATTACTTATATATCATCCTTAATAATTGTTTATGAATCTTACGATTCACGATGCATTACGATTTAAGATTCAAAAAACTGGCTTTCCGATTCACGATTCGTATCTCGATTTGATACCATGCTTTAAGGGTTTTGTTAATGTATTCTATACCATTATCAGAATGTAAAACTTTTATAGGGGTTTGAAATTGTTTTTAATCATTTGGTAAAATGTGGTAAAGACAGAGTAAACATCAGTTTTATCTTTTAATATGTCCAAAAAACACATGTATGGTCATCAATACTAGTTATAAACCACTTTCGATGGGTTTGGTTTGGGACATAGTTTGGTCCCCAAAGATCACAGTGAATAGTTGAGAAAGGAGATGAATGCTGGTAAATATTTCAATAACATGTTATACATTGGTGCTTTGCAATTTCACAAACATCATAATAAATATCTGAAATATCTTTATTTGAAAAGTTAGAGGGGAACATTTAAATCATATATTGAAAGTTTGGATAAGTAAAGCATTTATGCCATAAAATGAGATCATAGTATTTAGGAAGGGATACTTTATTGCTAATACCAGGCTTCATCAAAGTAGCAAAGGCCATCAAACTCTTTTTTTTTTTTTAGGGTAATAAAAGGCCATCAAACTCTTTAGCATAACTAATCGTCATCTTTGTTGACAAATCCTGGAATAAGTAATAAGTATCATAGAATGAACATGGCATTTTTCAGTTCGGTAAGTTTATGAACAAATATTAAGTTGCATTTCAGATTTGGTGAAGGACAGCATAAAGAGTTATTTGATCTAAAAGGTAAATACTACATACACCAAGCACAGGAGATAAAGAGGTATTAGCAATTCAAACTTTAAGTGAGCCATCACAAGTAGTATAAGTAGTCAATAAAGCACAGTTATCGGTCATGTGATCAGAAGCACCAGAATCGGCTGAACACATACTCTGAATAGCATTTAAGGCATGTATAGAGTTATCTTTATGAACAATAGTGGCAGTTGGTTGAGCCAGTGTTGGTTGTCCAAAGGTTTGAGGATTGGTTAGAAGTTCCATCAGCTTGGAAAACTGCTTGGTTGATATATTCTAAGTAGCTGATGGTTTTTCTTCATTTTTCTTAGCAATATATCCATGACCTTTTCCTCTCTTAGGCTTCCAATCTACAGGCTTTCCATGAATGTCCTAATAAGTATCTTTTGTATTCTCTATTTTCTTACAATGCTCATGCACATGCTTAGTTTTCTTACCTCTAGGGTCAATCCTGTGAGAAACAAGAGCGAAAGATTCAAAGGTATTTATTGGGGTATCTAAAGAAGGTTGTAACATAACTATGACGAGAATCTTCTCTTATAACCTTTGCAAATGCCTCTCGAATAGTGGGAAGGGGCATACGGCCCATAATGCATCCTTTAATAGCATCTATGTCCGAATTGACACCAGTGAGAAATTCAAACAAACATTCCTTTTGTACTGGGTTGTATCTTCTAAGGATTTCTAGGTTTCTTCATTTTGAAGATCTAATTCCTACCACAATGCAAACATGTTCAGATAATATTCATTTAAACTTCTAGTACCTTGTTTATCTACCATAGCCCCGTTTTAATCTCAAACACTTAGGAAGGATTTTCTCTATCTATTTTCTCAGATGGCTTCCCGAATCTCTCTAGTGGCTAGAAGGAACATAAAGCTGCGCTTGATGGTAGAGGTCATCGCGTTGATGAGCTAAGAGGTCACCATGGAATTCTTAGTCCTCTAGACATGCACACCCTGTGAGTCTACAGCAGGAGGGCAGGTCATATCACCGGTGAGATACCCAAGCATCCCCCTTCCTTTAATGACAAGGTGAATTGATAGGGCCCATTCTCGATAGTTATCGCTAGTGAGGTTCTCCGGGATAATCAAGAACGTTACCTTCGAAATTCGTATTTAGTAGGAGGTGCTTTGAAGTTAAAAAACTGGAGCCATTGGGCTCTATAGTCGACTTAATCAACTTGCTGGTGTCATTGGGCATAACACGAATGCGGTTGATGGGTCAAATCCCCCTCTCAAGCTCTGATACCATGTGAGTTGAGGAATCAATTTGAATAATTTGTGTTTTTTTTATATCTTGTATTGATAGGTTACATGATTATATGCAAGAAAATAAAAGGAAATACAAGAAAGCCTAATAAACCTATTTATAACGGTAGGAAACCAAAGAATAATGAATTAAATAATGAATCATAAATAATGGAATTATGGAGCCTTTTTTTTTGGACTGGAGAATTATAGAGCTTAATTTCCAGGATTTTCACATATGCGTATTGTATGCATAGAAGAATTTGAATCATTTTGTCATGTTTGTCTCATTATGTTCATTTGATTTGTATTTCTTTTACTTTTTTAAACTTGTTGGGATTTGGGTTCGAGTAACATCAATGAAAGCCTTAGATCAGATAGTTGGTTTTATAACACAAACCAATTGAAGATAACTTTACGAAAGCTATTCTTATCATATTGGATTTGTAAGATTCACTTACATATTGCTTTAAACTACATATTCAATTGAGTTCAGTGCTAGACAGAAAGGAAATTGATAAATCTTTTATAGCAATGCTATTGAAGATTGCTTCCTCTGAGGAAAATTTGGTAATCGCTACTTGAATGGCAGGCGATGTATAACTTAGTTTCACTCTATGAATTGCAGCCAGGACACAATTAAAGGGATAACAACTATGCCGTTGATTTTTAAGGCCTTAATTATCCTGTTACTGTTGACTACTTTACATTCTAAAATATGTAATTAGGACTTGAATTTGTTTGACTCGCTCATAATAGTCACTTTTCACCTAGTATGTGTGGTTTATGCCAACATGCATTCATTTTTAAGGTTTGGTGGAATCTTATCAGAGTACTCTTGGATACTAACTTTTGTGTCTTTCAACTATGGAAATAGAATGATTATCAAAGTACCTTAATTGATTATACATGACTAGGTTCTGTGCTTCTTTAACTGATTTTTTTTTTGCCTAGGTCCATAAGCGGGGCTATTGATGTATTTGTGTGGATGGGTATCTGAGTCTTTGTCGACGATTGTGCGCCATTCACAAAACTGATACTTTCTAAGGTTTTTGATTTCCTTGCCTCCTACTTCTTTAATTGATTTTTGTTTAAGCTTCTTTAGCTCTTGACCATTGCTTTAAGTTGATTTGTGCTTATTGCTTGGTTTCGTCTCGGTGTTCATTCTGTAGTCTCCATGGTATACTGTGATAAGCAGTTATGGAAGTTAATCAGTAGTCTTTTTGTGTGTGGTTGTTTTCACCTGAATTGTTGCAAATACTTGCTTCACATCCAATTTGCATGGCGGTAGATGATTCTATTTCATAATTGAGATTTTCATATGCGTCATGGTAGATTTTTACTGGAACTAAAACATTGGAGGAACTGGTTGTTAGACTACTGTTGTCATCATACTATTTGTGTTGTCTTGTTAATAAGTTCATATGAAAAAATGCACATTTTCACAAGAGTAAGCTTACTTGAGATAATAGCTTGTAGGAGTTTAAAAACAATATGTTGGTTTCAACTATACTTGATTGTTGGCACTGGCAAGTAGGGATGTAATATCCTAAAAAAAAAATAATTCAAAAAAATAATAATTGAAAAATAATATAATATTATAATATTTTATTATAATATTTTTTTTTAAAAAAAAAAAGGTCCAACTTTCCACCGATATTTCGGTGGAAAGTTGGAGGGGGGTGGAAATTTGGGGGGGGGTGGAAAATTGGGCGTTGGGTTTGAAATCCCCTCCCCCCAATAAATGTGTAGGGGTGTTAAATACCCCCCACAATTCATTCCCCCCAGGTAGGCGCAAGAAGGAGGGAGAGAGGGAGAGAGAGAGGGCCGAAGTGTGAGAGAGAGAGGAGCATACTGGTAAAGGAGAGGGCAAGCTTTGAAGATATTTTAGGTATATAAAATTACTTCTTTTTATCAAACTTTCTTTATAAATATTTCCTATATATTTTAAGCTTCCTATTTACGTTATTACTATAGTGATTAGAGAAAATTTTGAGACTTATATATGATCTAGGTATTGAGTTTTTACAAAAGATGACTATCGAAAGTTAGAAGTTAATGAGTTGTTAATTTTAATCGGTTTAGATTTGTCTATTTGTTAGTTTTAGTATTTAAATTAATTTATTTAGTTGAAAATCTGTCATTTATGGGATATACCATATTTTTACTGATTAAATTTAAGTTAAATAATTTATTTGAATTGTTTGATATATTATTGAGATTTTAATCGGTTTAGTTTTATTTATTGGGTGACCGGAGGTTTTAAAATAATTATTGTAGCTAAAAATTTTATTATTTATGGAAATATATATATATGGTAGTTATATCATTAAAGTTTTGATTATATTATTTAGTTATAAATATTTAAAGTATTATTAAATTTTTAAGAGTTTGATTTTGAGGTTTAAACTGAAAATGAGAGTTTTTAGAATTTAGAATATAGTAATTTTATATTTAGAAATTGTGAAAAATCCTTTTTATTAAGGTAAATAATTTGGAGGTGGTAAATAAATAATTTGGGGTTGTTAGAAATTTTAAGTTGTTTCTAAAATACTTAATAATTTTTTAGTTATGAGAGTTGCGGGAATTTAGAGTAAAAATTTAAATAATATAGAGAAGTTTAATTAATTAATTAATTAATTTATATTAATATGTGGTTATATTAATTGTGTAGATTAATTATTGGTTGAGCAAAGGATTGACCTTGTGGTAATCCTTAGTATTGCTTTGGCGAGAGGTAACCACTTTCCACTTGTTATATGTGCTAATATGTTGTTTGTGAGTATTTTGCTATTTTTAGAATAATATTTGATATTTGGAACTTGAGTAGATATGTTATATCTTTTGAGCTATGAAAATTGTCTTGTGGGATTTTTGGAATTGTGATTGAGAAGTTTGGAAAAGATATATGATTTATATCTTATGGATTATACTGAGAAAGGATTGAGACATTTTTATTATATTGTGAATGATTGATTGTTATTTGGATTTTGGATTGAGTCTTATCCTACCACGTGGTAAGGCCGCCATTGGTGCACATTGGTTGGCTTCTTCTTTCATCCCCCATAGTGAGGGATAGGCCTTTGTGGCTTCTTATTCGTCCCCCAAAGTGAGGGATAGGCCCATATGATTGATTGATCCCCCAGAGTGAGGGATAGACTTATGTGGCTTATGTGTTGACCCCCATAGTGAAGGTTTGGATGATTGAAATTATATTTCTATGAATATATCTATAGTTCTCGAGAATTAATAACTGTCCCACTTGACACCTCACGAGCACGTATTAGTATGTATGATGAGTTGGAAAGCTGGTTACTGAGACATTTGTCTCACCCCGTGGTTTAACATTTTTCAGGCGATAGTTCTGGTGGTGGCCCATCAGGGAAGGCTCCGGAGGCATAGTGTGCTGTTATAGCTTGTATAGCCTCCCTGCTTTTGTTCTATGTGTTGACTTGTTATATATTGCCACATAGGGCTCATCTACTATCATGATGTAAAATAATACTTTTAATTACTACTATCTGGTATGATAGGGCCGTGAAGAGGCCTGAGACATTTTAGACTCTGCATGTAACGCTCCTTCAAAAGTGTTGACTTTTGACTAATGAGCTCTATAGTTTATATTAAACTGATTTATCAGTTCGTATGGTTGAAAATATAAGTTTGGCTTGGGCTAATGGTTGACTGATATTTCTGGACTTTGGAAGTCCAAGACCCAAGGTAACGATCGATGTTACTCTTATTATAAGTTTATTTCCTTTAACCATGATAGTGATTTTAAAATTTTAAGGTTTCTTCTTTTCTATCATGGTTAATTATTCAAATAAATTGTTGGATTTAATCTAAAATAGTTTTGAAAGAGTGGTTGTCACAAGGGACATAGCCTATTTCCATAGTATTTTTGTGACTTGATTAATGAATGGTTGTGGATTATAGTTAGAGCCTTGAAATGCTACAATTAATTTATTGGCCGATTCATTTAAGAAGAGCCATAGGATGCTTCGTGACTTTGTGGTCTTTTAGTTGAAGGCTCCAAGTACTTCGGCTATTAGTGGGCTGATTGATTTAGGGGGTGTTTGGCAAATGAGCCAGAAGTGCTTCTGGACCCCAAACCTTGGTTTTGGCCAGCTGATTGCCAAACACCCCATTTTTTTTTAAAACCAAGGTTTCAGTCAAAACCTTGGTTTTGGCCAGCAAAACCAAGGTTTCCGGTAAGCGAAAAATTGTAGCTTCTGGAATGCAAATGTCTGATCGGATGGAGTAATAATTGGTCGGATGGAGTAATAATTGGTCCTGTCAAAAGCTCCAACGGTGAGAAATTACTCTGCCTCTTCTCCCATCCGTCGCCTTCGACCGATCTTCTGCCTCTTCTCCCATTCCGTCGTCGAAGATAGCACCGAACTTCTGCCTCTTCTCCCATTCCACCCGTCGCCTTCGACCGACTTCTGCCTCTTCTCCCATTCCACCCGTCGCCTTCGACCGAGCTTCTTCCACCCGTCGCCTGTCGCCTTCGACCGAGCTTCGACCGAGCTTCTTCCACCCGTCGCCTGTCGCCTTCGACCGAGCTTCTTCCACCCATCGCCTTCGACCGAGCTTCTAGCCACAGGTGAGATAGCACCGAAATACTCTGCCTCTTCTCCCATTCCTTTGCCGTCGCCTTTGACCGAACTTCTGGCCACAGGTGAGATCGTGTTGAGCTCGTGAATTTCGGCCCTGGTGAGGTGTTCATCGGCTTGGCAACACAAGATCATTCGGATCGAATTCCTTTGCCGTCGTTTTTCAGTTCGTCCGGTAAGAAACATATATTTTACCCCAAGAAAAAAACCATATCATTCGGATCCCATTCCTTTGCTGTCCTCTCTGAATCACTTTTTCGACCGAACTTCTAGCCACAGGTGAGATCGTTGTCAGCTCGTGAATTTCGGCCCTGTTTATCGGTTTGGCAATAGAAGATCTCGTGCTGGGTTTTCTTCCATTTCTGATAGCTGCGGTGTGCATTTCGTTCGGTCAGGTAACTTCTCCCCTTCATTTCTGATCTGATGCAATGAAGATGACTTGTTCATTTATCTGATCATTTTTGGGTGGAGTTCGATTAGCCATTACCGCCGGTGTCCTGTTTTTTTTTTTTCCGGTCGACTGGTCCTGTTTGATTTTTTCCGGTGTCCAAGCTCAAAGGCGTGAAGAAGATGCCTCATGGAAAACACGAAAAAAAAGATCAAAATGGGACCGGACTGGTGTTGGGGGCGGCTTATTAGTATTATGAAAATAATAGCAAACTTTCCTGATTATTTGACATTTTGATCTATTTCGTTACTTGCTGGACTTTTTATTTTCACTTATTCTGAAATAAAAGCCAGTACTACAAGAAATGAAATATCTAGGATTGTTACCCCGTAGCAGTGTTTGGTTTTCAGCTGTGTTTATTTCTTGATGATGTTAAATGACTCACAATGTCTCAAAAAGCAAACATGCTAAATAAAGTCATATTTTCGGCCTTGCTTTCATTGTAGCATATGGATTCCTGCTTGTATGGATTTTCCTGCTTCTATGGTTTACATAACAGCATAACACCTTTGGTTGAGTATGATCCTTTGGTTGAAGTCAAACGAGCCTTGATGATGCCCCTCATGCTCAAACTTGTTAAATACTATACTTGTTATATCATATCTCTTGGACTGAATGGCATGTTTTTTGGGTTGAACTTGTGATGACTAAAGTGTTATAATTGGTCTATAGTATAATGAGTAAACAAACTGGCAAAGCTTCATGGGATATAAGAACCACAAAGGTTTTTATTGACCTGTGCATTGAAGAAGTTGAAAAAGGGGGAAAAAAAGGAACTAGCTTGACAAAACCTGCTTGGACAAGTATTGTGGACAGCTTCACTGCAAAGACTGGAAGAGTCTATACGAGAATTCAATTGAAAAACAAATATGATACCCTGCGAAAGGAGTGGCAGTTATGGGATAGGCTGCTCCGTGAGACAGGTTTGGGATGGGATGCCGAAAGGAATACTGTTAGTGCCCCTGATGATTGGTGGGAGAAGAAAATAGTGGTAATGGTTTAACTTTATTTTAGCTTGTATTTTCTCACATGTTAATGTTTTTTGTATAATGTATTATATTTTTGGTGTTGAATGCGCAGGAAGTTCCTGGCTATGACAAATTTAGAGAAAGAGGGCTTCAGTTTCGGGCTGAATTGACTCAACTCTTTGGGTCTGTAGCTGCAACTGGACCCCAGTCATGGGCACCTTCTTCCATGACACTTCCAAGTGAAGGAGTTCCTGAAGATGATATGGAAGAAGGGTCTGGAGATAGTGATGAAATATTGGGGGCACCAACTGGGATAAGCGGAGAGTTTAATTCGGTCACATTCAATGACAATAGTGGAGGAAGCGGAGGCAACACTGGGATGAGACGGGAAAACAGTCGTGGGGGTAGAAGCACAGGTGGCAGTCGACCTAGTAGCTCATTAGGGGTTAAAAAAAGGGTGAATCCATGAAGAAGAAGAACACTGCCACTATGGATTAAGCAAGATAGCTCAGGCAAATGAAAATGATTCTCAGCGTGAATATGAAGAGATTTCAGAAGCACGTGCTAGGAAGATAGAAGAAGAAGCGCGTGCTTATGAGACGTCAATTGCGGGAGTCATGGAGCACCTTAACGAAGTTGATGAAGTTGTTGATGATCCTGATTTGTTTGGCCGGTGCACAACACTCCTTATGAGGGAGCAAGCTGCAAGGGAGATGTATGTGACTCTGAAGAACAAGAGGGAAAGACTCCTGATCTTCTTGAAGCACGCAACTAAATATTGAGACTTCATTTGTGTTGCTTATCATAGTATTTGACTACTTTTTGTGTTATTCAGGAGATGACTGTGATAATTTGCATATGTTTTTAGGAATGATGTAACCAGCACTATTGTATTATGTGACTGCTAAACTTCTTTAGGAATTAGACAACTTATTTCCTTGTTAAATGTTTACTAATTTCATATGAGGATTTCTGAATTTTATATCTATGTGCACAGGACAAGACAAAAAATGGCTGATGAAATTAAAATTGCGGAAAAGTATCGTAAACGACGGAACAAACGGATTAATCAAGTTGCAGTAGCAGTTGGTGGATACGCTTCTCTTCATTTGTGTAAAGAGCCCCAGCACACAAGTATTTATACAGGCAAGGCATGGGTAAGGGACGTTTTACAAGGCCATTCCACCCGTTGTTATAACATGTTTAGGATGGAAAGGGAAGTGTTTTTTAGTCTTTGCACAGAATTGCAGCAACACGGTCTTACGGAAACTAGAAATGTTGGGATACATGAAATGGTTGCAATGTTTTTAAATACCGTTGGCCATGCGCTTAGTAGTAGGATGCAGCAAGAAAGATTTCAGCATTCGGGGGAGACAATTAGTAGACATTTCCATAATGTCTTACTGGCATGCTGTAGACTTGCTATGTCCAATATCAAACCAAAAGATCCAACATTTCAGCATTTGCATTCAAAAATACAGCCCGGTGGTCGATACTGGCCCTTTTTCAAACATGCTATTGGAGCAATTGATGGAACACATATTTCATGCGTTGTTAATGCAACTGACCAAACAAAATTTGTTAACCGAAAAGGAAGAGTGACGCAAAATGTAATGGCGGTTTGCGATTGGGACATGTGCTTCACTTTTGTATTAGCCGGATGGGAAGGTAGTGCGCATGATGCTCGTATATTTGACCACGCTCTCACAACTCCTTCCATGAACTTTCCCCATCCGCCTCAAGGTATATTTTAAATTGCTACAATTTATTTATGCGATACTGTTACAAAACAAAGTTTATTGACACCAATCATATATTTCATGTAGGCAAATATTATTTGGTGGATGCTGGCTATCCGACACCCGTGGGATACCTTGGTCCCTACAGACGTGAACGCTATCATCTCCCTGATTTTCGAAGGTCATCTGCACTTGAAAATGACAATGAGGCGTTTAATTATTTGCACTCAAGTCTACGAAGCACTATTGAAAGAACTTTGGAGTTTGGAAGAGTAAGTTTGCAATTTTAGGAAACATGCCGAGCTATGACTTTCCAACACAGGTTCAAATTGTTTGTGCAACAATGGCCATACATAACTTCATTAGATCAACATCCATTTCTGATCCTGGTTTCATTCAGTTTGAACAAGAAGGTTCTTATGCAGAAGAAAATAACGATGATGATGGAGTTGGATCTTCACATATACCTTCATCAATAGAATCTTCATCTCATATGGCTCGACTTCGTGACTCCATAAGAGATCAAATTATTCACTATATACGAGAATAGTCATGTCTTTTTTTTTCCTTCTTTCTTTTCAGATAATGTAATGTGTTGTTAAAAAAAAAGTACTTGGACAAATATTTTTCGTTGCAACCTCTATTATTAAGACAATTGATATGAAATTTTTTTGTGTGCTTCTTTAATTTTGTGAAAAAAAATTATGGGATTTTTTCATCTTTAAAATCTTTAAGAAATGATCATATTTTTTGTTGGCAAAACTAATTATTTTACAAAAAACATATTTAATTACTTTATTAAAAAATATGCGTATTAATTTTAATTATTTTATTAATATATATTATTTATTAATATATATACATATTTAATTATTTTATTAAATTATTTTCCAAAAAATATTTATTTATTTTATTAATTTATATACGTATTAAATTTTTTTATTAATATTATTAATTTACTTCAAATAAACATATATTATGAAATATATCTTATATGTAATTATCATTTAAACTTATGTCCTTTTTTGTAATTTCTACATGTAAAAAGCACTTCTGACAAAACCTATCCAAACACTCTCACTTTTTCAGAATCACTTTTTCAGAAAACCTATTCTCTCAAAATCTATTCTCTCCAGAATCAATTCTCCAGAAGCTATTCTCCAAACCATGGTTTGACTTCATCCAAACACCCCCTTAAGAAGGATCTAAGGTTCCAATTGTGGCTTCATGGTCTTTTGGTGTGGGCTGATTGATTTAAGAAGGATCTAAAGATGCTTCATAGCTATGTAGGCTTATAGTTGAGGGCTTGAAATGCTCTGATCGTTTTGTGGCCTAATTGTTTTAAGAAGGACTCAAGGATACTTCTGTTGCTTTATGAGCATATAGCTGAAGACTCTTCAAGTACTTCAACCAAGCTGATTGATTTTCTTTTTTTTAGATAAAAGAAAATAGTAGCACACAAAAGGTTTCAATAAGGTTTGGACTTCCTGAAGTAGATAGTGGAGTATCCAATGAACCTTACTAGATTTCACAAGTATTTTAGCATGGGAAGGCTTGATTTAAAAGAGTATTTGCATTAATTTATTCTAAGTAATACACAAAAAAATTTGTTTGATAGTATACAAAAGTGTTTGTTTATTGGGAAGATTTTAGTTAAGGACCACTATAGCCAATTTATTTCAAAAAGCCCCCAAAACATTCTGAAACTTCACTACAAGACTGAGAAGGGAAGTGAAATTAATTCCAGAAGGTTAAAGATGAAAATGCCCTGTGAAAATGAGACTTTCTTTTTTAGTGTTGTAAAAGAAAGAAGAAAGAGGGAAATGGGGAAGTTGGTGCCATTTCTTCCCCTCCCCATGTAGTGCAGCAGTGATGAAGGGAGATGTTCCACTACTATGAACTGAGGAAAAGCGGTGGCCGATCATCATTCTGAGGGTGCATCCCTCTGCTGTCTCTAGAAGTTGATGTCAGAGTTGGGTGCAAGTGAGAGAAATTGTAAGTGTGCCCTACGTTGTTGCGTTGTCATTTTTACTATTGCTTGGCATATGAGGTAAAATTTTGTTTTCAAAATTTCCTTTTTCTTCATCTGACTTGGTGAGAACAACTAGGTTATGATGGGTGAATAATGGAGAAATGAGTATTTAAATATATAGATAAATAGGTAGTGAGTGAAGGAAAATCTGACAATGATTTTGGTTTTACAAAGAAATTGTTGTCCTCTTCTTGTTTTAAGTTGTTAAACATGGGGTATTTGTGATTTTTGAAAAATGGGTGAGAATGGGTGAACATTGAGTATAATGCATTGTTGAAGGAACTTTGGGAGGCAGAAATAAAAGGAAAATGGGTGAATGTGCCGGAATGGGTGACATGATAGGAAAATGTACAGAGAAAAGGTAACTTGAAGTTGTGAAAATATACATTCGTATCGTAAATTTGCAAATTTAAGTTGTCTAGGAAAATGGCAATTTAGTGTATTAAAGACCCATAGTTTTGTTGTTAATTTTTAAATTCCTGTTGTAAATGTACACTGTCTTTAATTGCTGAAAGTTGATTAAAATTTATATTTGAATGACGTATAGCAACAGATTATAAATGGCTAGCAGTAATGGAAAATAATTATTTTGCATCTTTCATGTTGGAGGGGAATTTGTAAAGACCTTAGAAAGAAAATTGATATATGAAGGGGGCATTATAAGTGAAAGATTGATTATTTTGAATCCCACAATCATCACTGAAAAATTAACACATCACAATGTTAGCTCATCTAATTGCATGAAAATGCATGACAAAGAAATTTACTTAACTAAAAATCACATATTCTCTTGGACATAAACTATGGGATACAAGATTACATTGTTTAAATCTGGGGTGGCCAATGGCTTCGACTCAAGCTTCACTGTCCTTAGTATTTTAATGAAGTGTGACCTCTAGATAATTAGAAATGACCATCAGATAAGGGATACTATGGTTGTCCAAAAAGTAGAAGAATAATTACAGAACTCACAAGATTCAGCCATCATTTGTTGCCCTCTGTACGCTGGATCATCCTTTTTCTTCTTTTTTCAGTGCTTCGTTATATCCTCGCCATTATGTAGTGAGTCCAACACATAAAACTTTAGTGTGCTTGGTTCAAACACAAAACAAAACTAATGCAATACAAACAGAACATGTGCAAAAATATATTCACATTCACCCAAATTGTACCTCAGGTGTTCTGGGAGTACTTGGTTCAGATGTTTCTCCACTTACCATGCTCTATGTTTCTGCACCATCTTTGTCTATGACAGCCAAAATTAAAGAACAACATATGTTGAAGTTACTAACTTTACTTGTAAATACACTAATTTTGACGTTAATATCCTAACTATATTTGTTAGAGGACTATACATTTTAAAGCATTTACCTATTAACAAGAGATAACACTAATCATGAAACTTGCGTCAAATATGTGTCTTTTAACCACATAGAAATTATCCTTTTGGTTAGCGTTCATAGTATGAGCTATCAAAGCCATAATTTGCAGATTAATGGAGCTTTAATAAATCATTCAAAATTTCATATATGTCCCACCAATTTGAATTCAACATTGCACATACTCTGTTGTTTATCCACCTACTAAGACCAACTGTTTATAGGTCTATTTGTCTTGTAAAATGCTCAAACATATCTACTATAACCTTACAACAAATATCAAAGTGCAAAGATATAGTCAGTATTACATACTAGTATTATTCACAGGCTATCATTACCACAATAACTCTGGATACTTACTCTTCAGCCTCATCTGGTTGACACCACTCAGTACACATAGTATAAAATGCATCCTTCTCACTCACTTTGACTTTTCTAGTGTAAGTAGACATGTATGGAGATTTTACAGCTGGAATTATACGTTTAGTTAACCTCCTTATCGGTAGTTGCATCGCTTTTGTGACCATTTTTTCTTTTTTGTTCCCTTCTTTAGTTTCTTTCTCCTTTTCATGTTCACTATCCTTTTCTACTACTTCATTTTCTCTTTCATCTTCATCTTGAACACTGTCTTCTTTATCTTTATCTTGAATACTGTTTTCTTCATCCTCATCTTCTTGTTCTTGTTGTTCATGATCATGCGATTTCTAACCAGTTTGATGTTCTTCTAGTGGCTCTCCAATGATAACTTCATCATTTTGTGGCTGGTCATCTTCATCTTCATCACTATGGTGTTCTTTTTTTTCTTCTTCATGCTCATCTTTGTCACCTTCTTTTGGCTATTTAACATTGACTTCTTCATTCAATCCTCGATTGAGAATTTGATTTCTAGCTTAACTAATTCATCACAAGCATAACTTTGAATCTTTGCCATCTCATTGTTCAATTTATTGTTGAAATTTACCCAAAACTCTTTAATATCCTGCATATTTAAAATGTATGTCAGAAAACATATATTAAATATGACCAAAAGACCCTACTACATTGGTATTACTCACTAGATGCTAGAAATTTGTAGTAGTCGCTGGCTGTGTTGATATCTTAACTTCAGCAAAGGTTAGAGTGTATAAAATGCCATGACAATTCTCCTTTTCCACCTTGATTCTTTTCTTCACTGCCTTATCATTCCAATGTTTAATGACTTCTTTGTCTTTTAGTACAACTCCTTCCAAAGGGAACCCTTGTAGGAAGTAAAGCTGAAGAAAAAAAAACATAACAACTCATAAATCAAATTAGACAATGCATCAACAATTTAATAGTAAAAAAAAATTCAATATCATTTATTATGTAAACAAATACACAGGTACCAATAAAAAAATAGATGCACCTCCAATAACTCTGGAGCACTCGGTCTGTCCCTCTTTACTGCCCCTATTGTATTGTTGTATTTCTTCACTGACTTTATCAAGTGCAAATGAAGCCTAATCAAAATTTTCCCAATTTTTTTTTCTGTGCAAGCCATTACCTTTAGCACCTTCTCACTCACACTTGCATTTCCGATTGCACTCAGAAGAGTTCCCAGTTTGGAAAAAACAAAATAGAATTCAAACATTTCCTTTTCGTCCTCGTCATTATCTTCTCCCAATTTGAGAATATGTTAGTGGAGTATAGCCCTTCTTTAGCTCATTTACCGGATCCTTGAAGCCATCCAACTTGAATTTGGAGCCCTTATTTTGTAACCCAAGTACCATTCTCATATCTTTAGCTGTTATCTTCAATGTCTTTCCCCTTACGGTCATTTGTTTACTTCGGGGATCATATGCATGAATCAATTCCACACATAAATCTTTAGGAATCTTATTCTAAGTAATATTAAGAAGATGCCCAAACCCATTTCTTCTTTCGTGTGTTTTAAATTTTCTTTCCTATTTATAAACTTAGCCACTTCGTTGAATTTGGTGGAAGAGCAATGGGTGGAAAATGGGGAGACATATTTCTCCTTCTTTTTCTCTTGTATTAGCTCTTGCTCCTTTTTTTTTATACGGTTCCCTGTTAGTATCACTCATTTTATTCCATTTTGCTGAAGCTGCATTTGTGATTGCTGCCATTCCATGCATCCCCTCTTTCTTTTGTTCCCAAAATTCACCCTTGAATACTTTCTATCTGCTAACTTTTGCTTCTTTTTTTGCCATCTTCTTAAGCCTTTACACAATAATTACAAGGTCATTAATTATTAGACTAAACAACACTTTAAAATTCATACCATCTAACATTTCTTCTTACATAAACCTTAAACTTGTAAGTGCACTAATTATTTAATTTCTTAACTTTACTTGTTATAGGACAAGACATAACATTGTTGTGTACAAATGATTAGTTAATTAATTCTTCATGTAAACTACCTAACTTTCTTTGTTAGGCTACTAAATATTATATTCTTACAAACATGAAATTATTATATACAAGTGGTTCATTAACTAATTCTTTATGTAAATTGCCTAGCTTTCAATGTTAGGCCACTAAATATCAAATTCCAACCTGTTAAAGCAAAATCCTCCTATTTTCCTAATCCATATGACAACATTTGCTCCTCCCAATTCTTCTTTTAATTCCTGCAAAATGGCTACAAACAATATAACAATACTTTTAAACCTTTATCCGCAACCTTTCACTCAAACCTATTCCTCTCTGTGATCTAAAAGCTCCACTCACAAGCTTTCTCTCACAAGATCTGGAGGATTTGCTAAAATGGGTGATGGGCGAATACTATGTGAGGCACTGGTAACTATTTTTCGGTTAAAACCCAAATGTGATTACCAAACACTTTGACCTTTCAATTGGTCCTTCTTCTTTAATATACAAACTTCCACTTGCTTATCTCATTACTCAATAAACCCAATCTAAGAAATATAGAATATTTTATGTAGACCATGAGGCTTACCAAAGGGTTTCAGTATTTTCTTCTCCCCTCCTTCTTCTTCCTTTGTTGATAGCCTTATAAGTTTCCTCTTTTGTCGGCCTCGTCTTCTTTCTCTTCTGGTTGTAGTGACTACCACGCATTGGTAGAATGACGACAACAGAATTTTTGGGAAACGTCTGACAGTTTTGGCAGATTGGGAGAGGGAAGAGTTTTTGCAGAGTGGAAGCACGTTCGTAGAGCAGGAGAGGGAAGAGGTTTCACGAAGTGGGATCACGTTCGTAGAGCGGGAGAGGGAAGACTTTCTGATCATCGGATTTTGGCCCTTATTTTCAAATTTTAGGAGAAGTATTATGAGGGGCAATAGCGTCTTTTTGTTTTTGGAATTAAGTTTACTTTCCCTTTTAGTCTTGCAGTGAAGTTTCAGAATGTTTTAGGAGCTTTTTGAAATAAATTGGCTATAATGGTCCTTAACTGAAATTTTCCCTTGTTTATTTAGTTGCTTCCAAACATCCACTTAAATTGACTTCTTGGTTTTGACTAAAAAAAAAAAACTATTGTAAAAAAATACGAGCATTTTTTATTAAGAAAATGGAAAATAAAGAAATTAGAAAATGTAATACTCCAAATTAGTCATGTTGAAAATGACATAAAAGAAAATGGTGCATGATCCGGTATTTTGTAAATGTAATTGAATCACTAAAATACTTTTGTATAAAAAAGTTTATTAATAAGTTTTGATCGGTAATGATAATTATTGAATAACAAATGACATTAAATGTATTAGTAATAACAAGTTATTTATTAACAAATTATGAACTGATAATGACAAGTGTTGAACAACCAATAACAAAAAATATACTGACAATGACAAGTTTGATAGTTTTTATCTAATATATAGGTATTTTAGTTATTTGACTATATTTACAAAATATCATATCAGGTATCATTTTATTTTCTATCATTTTCAACTATTAGCTGCCTTAATTGAAAAATAATAATTTCAAGATTTCTTTGTCGTTGAAAATTTCCCCTTTTTTTTAATCGGTTGATAAGTAATAAAAATAGTATCTTCAGTGCCAGTCCTGCGTCCTGTTGTGCGAGGAGACTATTCCACCGAACTGCCTGCAAATAACGTGCTTGTAACGATAACGACGAGGGAGACTGCTGCCTTTGGACCTGACTCCTTGGACTACGGTTCATTCTCATGCATCTTCTGGCTCTTTCTCTCTCATTCTCTGCTTTAGGAAGCAGAGAGAAAGCATAGCATATCCCATTCTCGATCTTGCCCTCGCCATCATGTCCCAGAAACCCATTAGCAGCATCACCGTGGCATTAATACTTATTTTCAGCTTCTTCGTAATCTTCTTCGGTTTCCTCCAGTCTCCCTCTCTATCAGTTTCACGCCAATCTCTCAACGATCCCATAACTTCAGAAACCAAAGCCTCAGCAGAAGCCTTTTCTGATCTGGTGGATGCCTTCAGAAAATGGGATTCTCAAGTGGGTTGTTCCAGGTTCAAGGAGAGATATGATGGGGCAAGGCGGAATAAGTCGATGGGTCCTTCTTCTTTGCAAGAGATTGGAGGTGATTCGAAATGTGAGGGCTTGAAATTGAACCATGTCAGCGTTTTGGTGAAAGGGTGGACTTGGATTCCCGATAATTTAGATAATTTGTACCCCTGCCAATGTGGGTTGAGCTGTTTGTGGACTAAATCGCCGGTTGTTGCGGACAAGCCTGACGCGTTATTGTTTGAAACGACTTCGCCTCCGATTGTGGTAGGTCTTTGATTGAATTTTTTTTCCCGGTTCTATCAGATTAGCGGAAAGTGGATATGCTAGGTTTCTTTACAATCAAAATATTTTGATTTGGATTATGAATATTGTATGTTTAACAAGGGCAATAATCATGACTTAGTGATGGTGCATTCGACCAAGTAATCTCAGCCAATAAGCTTTTGGTTGTTTTGCCTGTTTGTGCGTAACACTTGTCCAGTGCTCTAGATGACACGATACTTCAAATTGTATTAATTTATTATATCATCCTGTTAAGTGCTTCCCTTGTCAATGTGGGATCAAAGGTGCTTATGAGGTCTATTGAAACCAGTTCTTGCTGATCCTCAGATTTTGTTGAATTTTACACATGCTGCTGTCTGTCTAATGTTTTTACTTTTGGAGTTCATATTTAACTGCAATCTGTCCATATCATACGATATGAGTCAGATGTTGGTCCTTCTCAGTTCCTAGTTCTGCTGGACTCCTATTCTTTTGGGACAGGGGGTGGTTGAGGGTTTTTTTTTTTTTTTTTTTTTGTAGAGCGGAAGAACACACGCAGTTGTGATTCTAATGTTTATATCCTTAGAGATGAAGCTTAAGTCAGTATTAAGAAGCCTTTTTCTTCAACACCCCCCCCCCCCCAAAAAAAAAAAACAAAATGACTGGAATTATATTGCACATAATTATCCCAGAACAATCACTCAGAAGATGCTTCTGTCGTCAACCCTTAATTTCTGTGTATTGCATGTATGTGAAGATCAAGAAATTTGTTAGCCAAGAAATCTTGATGCAGAAAATTTTGACGGTGATGATTCATGACTTGAACCTTATGCGAATTGAGGGGATAAGTATTAGTAAATTTGATTTATAAGTTGGCTTGGAATTACGTACTAAAACAGAAAAGTGAAGGAAAAATTTATTGAAAGTGGGGGTTACTTGGGATTTTAATTACTTAGAGAAATCAGATGAAAGAGTTAACAGCTGCTACATATCCTTCAATTCTTTTCTAAAGATGTTGCAGCCTTAGTTATACTCAAGACGAATGGAGTTCTAAAGAAATTTGCCAGGACTGAATGTTTTGTTGATGAAATTTTAAGACTTGTGGTCCCAATTGTTGTTCCATAACATCTATCTATCTTTCTTGTTGCCATAGGACGTAACTATGGATAGTGTCGTTTTACTTGCAATGCAGGCTTTTCAATATCAGGAAACTTGAGATTGAAATAGTTTAAACACATATGCCCTTTGGCAAAAATGTTAAGCTTATGTTGCCTGCACTGATCATCTTCTTGACCAGAGATTATTGACTGATGTTTAGAACCGCTTTGAAGTTATTGGCTCATCTAAAATACTCACTTCAGCCGGTGTAGAAGTTGCAATAGTAGGAATTCCTTTCTTTATTCTGTCACATGATACGTGCAATCTAAAATTATGAATATCCTGGAGGTTGAGCTTTTATGTATTTAAGGTCTTCGTTTTGCCTTTGTTTATTTATTTATTGCGTCTCGATGGGGTAATTATGCCATCCTTGCCAGTTAGAGATGTTTAACATAATTTCTTACCTTCATAAATGCTTCTTCTCGTTTCATGGTGGGCTTTTAGGACTTTATTTTGTTGATAATAATGCAGTAAATGAGATTCCACTTGGCTTGCTTTTTCATGCCTACTTTTTATTTCAGAGACGCATGGGAGAACCACTTCGTGTGTACATGGATCTTGAAGCTGGGAGGAAGCGATCAGGTCAAGAAGATCTGTATATCAGTTATCATGCTGGAGATGACGTCCAGTCAACATATGCTGGTGCTCTGTTTCACAATGGCCGAAACTACCACATCTCACCTTATAAAAACGATGTAAGTCATATGCCATACGAGACTGAATCAGAATGTCAAGAATAAGATCTTGTACTGACATGGTCTAATTTTTCATTTCCAGGATACACTTGTCTATTGGTCTTCATCACGGTGCCTTTCTCAAAGGAACAAACTTGCCAAGAAACTTCTCAGTTTGCTACCTCACCATTCATTTGGGAAGTGCCTAAATAATGTTGGTGGTCTGGACATGGCCCTGTCCTTTTACCCTGAATGTGCAAACGATGGCAATGTTACCCCAAAATGGTGGGATCACTTACACTGTGCCATGTCTCACTACAAATTTGTTCTCGCAATTGAAAACACTTGGACAGATAGTTATGTGACGGAGAAGTTATTTTATGCCTTAGACTCTGGTGCAGTTCCTATTTATTTTGGTGCACCAAATGTCATGGATTTTGTCCCTCCACATTCAATAATAGATGGTACAAAATTCAGATCGTTGGAAGAACTGGCATCTTATGTGAAGGCCCTAGCTAATGACCCAGCGGCATATGCAGAATACCATGCATGGAGAAGGTGCGGTGTGTTAGGGAACTATCGAAAAACTCGAGCACTGAGTCTTGACACGCTACCGTGCCGGTTATGTGAAGCTGTTAGCAGGGGAGGAGGAAGAAATGCAAGAGGCTAGGTTGAGCTTTTTGCTGAAATTTTAGGACTTCATGTTAGTGATGCTTTGAATTCTGGTTGGACAGGCTGTATAGAGGCTAATTTCTTGTCTCGCAAAGGAAAGTTATAGAACTAGATCACATAGCAGGCTCAACTCAGACGGTAAAAAAAATATAAGGTATTTCTTTTCATTCCTGTTTTCACATTTAACCCCTCCTGGTGAATCCAGCTTACACTATAAATTGTTGATGACGACGACCACGTATCATTTTCATATTGTACATATGCAAAATGGGGAATGTGAGAATTTTTTGCAGATCTTTTGATGTAATTTGTCGTGAATTTTCAGTCCTGAAAAGTAACTTCCCCTTTTACTCACCCCAGTTCTGTTTAAACCTCAGACTATTTTCTGTAACCACCTATAGGTTACCTCTAGAACAATTGGTATGAGGGTGGTGGGGCCCCATGTATTCGGCAGAGTAGGTTTTCTATCATTTACTTATTTATTAGGTAATTTTCTTTTCTGAAACTTTTCCCCTTGAAAATTCTTGATTGAAGGTGGCCAGGTGCTGAAAACTTCAGCAGACACCTAAGGCAGTGGATTGCTACAGTCATGAAAAAGACCTTTAGGAGATAGATTCAATCTAAAAAAGAAACTGATCAATAATCTTGTTGTAGGAGGTCTAATAGAGAGAATGAAGACATTGGAGGCGATTGTCTTCTGGATTCTAGTCCTTGTGGAACTTCCAAACTGAAGCCATTATCCCACTATGGACTGAAGATTTGGACTTCCCAGTACACTGAATCTGCAGTATAAAACTCATCTGATTGAACATCTAGTGCATTACAAGGGCCAAAAAAAATTATACCCTGCAAATTTGTATTCCTCTCTCTTACCTTTGTCTTGCTCTTTTGGCTCTTTTGGCACGTTTTGATCTTCTTCAAATCATCAGGTCTGTTCTTGAGATAATCCTTCACCTGCTGTTTGTTCATAGATTGCATCATATCAACCTGTTTGAAATGATACAGACTCAGACCTTTTTTTGAGTTCTTGAGGAGCATGGGTTTGCTCAAAAAGCCTATAAATTGAAGGAAACTTGTAGCGAGAAGAAGACAAAAAGGAAATACCCATGTTTTGAGGTTTTCTATGTCCTTTCTTAGGTCCGCTTCTTCCTTATCAGCAGCTTCCTTCTTGTCCTTCCACGACTGTACCTTGGCCTCTTTTACTTCTTTCTTCTTGTTCTTACCTCCACCGCCAGTATTCATTGTTACAGAACACAGGCCAGAAAACAATTCTATGCTGTTTAGTAGAATGAGAAATTTTTTAATAATTTTCTTTCTGGGGGGAAATTAATGAATGTAGCCTTTGGAAATAACAAACTTAACTGAACTCAGTCATTGTCATGTATAGGTTACGGCACGAGAGTTGTTGACTCTGAGAATATTCAATATATTTGTTAAAGTAACTCGGAGATCAAATCATCGGTTTAAGTGATTAAACTGAAGCCTTAACCAATGGATTTGAGTATTTGGTCAAATGGGTAACTGAAATAGCAAGTGGTTGAAAAATTCGCAGGTTCCAATACACACGTTAGTGGTAAAATGACAAAAGTGAACGTCATTGGACTCTTTTTTTCTTTAGTTAATATCATTTTTAGTTCATGACATTTGATCTCATTTTAGTTTTGAACAAGTGATTTTGGTCCTAGAACGTTGATCTCATTTTGGTTTTAGTCCCTCAACTTTGAAACAATTGGTTTTGATTTTTTAAATTTAACTTTATTTTGGTTTGGTTTAAAAAATTTTGTTCCTTAATTATGGAACAAAGCCAAAACAAGTTTACATTCTTGAGATCAAAACCACTTGTTTCAAATTTCAAAAATCAAAATAAAGAACTCAAATTTTAGAGACTAAAACAAAAAAAAAATCAAATTAAAGGTGATATTAACCCTTTATTTAACAAAATTGAACTTAATACTTTTATCATCCTATTTATAAGTCACCTGTTTTATTGAAGGCAAACCAATGTTTATTTACACCATATTTTGAAGCGGATCTTTTTTTTTTTTTTTTGCAATTTTATCCAAAAATCATAGATAAAATTACATCACTAAAAAGATTAGAAGTAAAATTGTATAGTCGTGGGTAAAATTGCACTTCCACCAAATTTTGATTCAGGAAAATATTTTAAAGCTCACTACTTCTGCATTAACAGTTACTTTTTAATTTTAACCTTATTTAATATATATACTTTCCAAGTAAATAGAAAGTAGAATTACACAATAATAAATAAAGGTAGAAATTATTTTAAAAAAATAAAGGTTAAAATTGTTTATTCATATAAAAAAATTTTATGCTTTAATATCATTGTTAGTTCTTATAATTTAATTGAATTTTGATTTTTAGTCCTTATTATTTCAAATTATTGTTTTTGATCCATATAGTTTTATAAAAATTTGGTTTGAAATTAAGTATAAGAATTAAAACTAAAACTTGTTAAAAGTATAAGAATTATTCGTTAAATTCATACTAAAAAATTATGAAATTATGGAGACTATAACCAACGATTTCAATTTGAGACTATAAGGACTAAATCAAACCATAATAACTAACAATCATATTAAACCAAAATTTAATCATGTGAGGAACTCAGTGAATAAAATAATGTTGAAGCGAAATACTTGTTGCCCTGTATGGTAACTGATCATTCATCAAACATTCTATCGTGTACATAAATACAATATCAAGTAACTTTAGATACAAACAATATCTGATTCAATTCAATCATGAAGAAACCCAAAACTCATCAAATACGTAAGTATGAGATATTCACGTATTATCTTATGTGTACAATTAAAAGGATGTTTGGAAGCACCTAAAAGTACTTCTCAAAAATACTTTTCCACAAAACGAGACAAACTCCTCCACTATTTACTTCACACACCATAAAAGTACTTTTAAAATCTTTGATTCCATCTAAACACTTCCTAAGTAACTTCACCTATATGTTAAAGCCATGTCTAAGTTCTACAAAGAGATTAATTAGAAGCAAATCTCATGAATTGGACTCTGCATTTCTTCCCCCTTTTCTGCTAACAAGTTCACACAGCCTACAAGGCAAAGAGTCGAGGCTAAGTCCTCTGGTTCTTCCATAATTGCCCAGCACACCACATCTTCTCCAAGCATGATATTCTGCATAAGCCACTGAATCATTAGCCAAAGCCTTAACGTACAAAGCCAAATCTTCCAGGCTGCTGAACGTGGAGCCGTCGATGACGGAATGTGGCGGCACAAAGTCGTCGACGTTCGGAGCTCCGAAGTAGATGGGGACGGCGGCGGAATCCAAGGCGTAGAAGAGCTTCTCTGTGACGTAGCTTTGCGTCCAGGTGTTTTCTATGGCGAGGACGAACTTGTAGTGGGACATGGCACAGTGAAGGTGGTCCCACCATCTTGGGGAAGAAGATTGGGTACAGTGAGGGTAGAAGGAGAGAGCCTTGTTTCTGCCATTAACGTTGTTGAGGCACTTGCCAAAGGAATGGTGAGGCAACATTGAGAGAAGCTTTTGAGCTATCTTGTTTCTTTTGGATACACAGTGGGACGATGACCAGTACACTAATGGGCCCTGAAAGATGAAAAATACTATTTTCTGAGCCAATAACCTTATAACTCAATGGCATGATTGCATGAGAGTGACCCTATAAGTGGGAAGTTATGAGTTCAATTCTGCTTGTAACCTCAAGACCAGATTATTAGTGTCTTTCAAAAAAGAATGTAATATTTAAAAAAGGAAAAATACTCTTTCGTTACATTTCATGTAACATACACTTTGAGCCAATGACCTTATAACCTAGTGGCATGACAGTATGAAAGTAACCTTATAAATAAGAAGTCATAAGTTCAATTCTGCTTATAACTTCAGACTTAGACCATTAGTGTCTTTCCTAAAAGAAATGTAATATTTAAAAAATTTCTCAAGCTTTCTAATATGGAAGGAAGAGATTATGTATATATGAACCTCATAATTAATGTCAAAAACTATTTAGTGGATAAGGGATTATTGTTATTATTATTATTATTAGTATGAAGAATGGACGAGGACTTACAGTGTTCTTGTGAGAGGAAACGTGGTAGTTTCGGTTGTTGTGGAAGAAGGCACCGGCATAGGTTGTCTGGATATCATCATCAGCATGATAACTGATGAATATGTCCTCACGGCCTGTTCTTTTTCTGTCTGGTTCCAGATCCATATATACCCTTACTGGTTCTCCAACCTTCCTCTGTTCATAACACATGAATCAATCATGAACAACAAGCACACTTGTAAATATTGATATGTCTAATCACTATTATTCTGCCTATCTAAGATGCTCTATCATACAAGTATTTTCCTGCTGAAGACGCCATTATTGACTTTCACTCTGTATATCCCAAAAAGATGAAAAAAAAGAGATCAAATTCTGATTCAAATGTACCATATATGAATAAGATTTAGTTTCATCACTTTATCCAAAAGACACCCAATTCCTAATTTCATCCATATATATAAAACACCCGGTTCTTATTTTCATTGGTGCTTTCAATCAAACACATCTTGATCACTAACTAAAGCTGATCAAAACTAAAGAAGAGATATATATGTGTACCCGAAGTGGAGGCTTAGTGCTTTCAAACAAGAGAGCATCAGGTTTATCAGCAAGAACAGGAGATTTAGTCCACAAGCAGCTCAAACCACACGGACAAGAGTACAAGTTATCCAAATTATCAGGAATCCACGTTGGCCCTTTCACCAAAACATTCACATGCTTCATCTTTAAACCCTCACACACCCCATGAATCTCTTCTTTGAAAGAAGAAGAAGAAGAAGAAGAAGCATTATCTGTATAATTCTGCAGTTTCTTCTTAAACTCATCACAACCCACTTGAGAATCCCACTCCTTAAAGGCACCAAGCAGATCGGTGAAGCCATGACCTTCATGATGAATATCAGCCCAGCTTGAAGTATCGTTATTGAAGATGCTGAATGAAGGTAAAGAATAAAAGTATATCGATGGAGGGAGCTCGATGGTCCCAGAGATCATCAGAATCAGAACAACGAAACACATTGCATTGACGATGCCTATGAGTTTATTATAAGTAGGACAACAACGTGTAATTACTCTCTTTCTCTCTAACATCTTAATTCCCAGAGGAAATTAAATATCAAATGATCAGAACACCAGAAAGCAAGCATATATATAGAGAAGTCAGGAATGAAAACAAACGATCACTGTTAGACTCAAAAATGCAGATACATCGATACAAAGAAAACTGGGTCCAGATTTGTGTGAGCACAGAGATAGATTTGTTGTTTTCTCGGGAAAGTGAAGGAAGATACGTGTTGACTGAAAGCATGCAGAAATTGGAGAAGATGACACACGCGTTGATGGCGATTTGAGGCACCGGGCTCGCGTGCGTTCATGCATGCTGCTCCAAAAGAACGGCAGTGCCAGATAAATCTATATATATATATATATATATATAAATGAACGATATTGTGATGTTCTGATTTTGAAATGATCGATGGAAAGAAACAGTGAGAAGAATATCCAAAGAATGAGTCTTAATTGAAAAGTCACATGTAGAGAATTGTCAAATGGCCTTCTTCACGAGAATATCGAAATATGAATCTTTATGAATACGTTGAACGATCAGTGACCCAGAAAATGTTCTGCAGGGTGCAAAAATATCAATCCTAAGTGGTGTGAATTAGACTATAGAAGAGATCAGATTATGGAGAACCAGGCCGTAAAAATGAAGAGCGAAGGAGGAGGATGATAAAGACTGAGTCAATATGTTAAAAAGACAAAAGCATTTGTGTGTAAGGAATTCCAGGAATAGGTGTGGTGTAGAGATCCGAAATTAAGGCTTTTATTATAATATGAGTTATGTGATAGTGATCTATGATAACAGGCTGAGGCTTCTTATTTGGTTCTTGAAATTAATTAGGGAGAATGGCACTTAAGCAAAATATGGAAAGTTGGAAATACCAAAATAGTTTCTCATGAAGCACTTAAAGAACTATTGCTTTCGTTTCTTAATATAAGAGTTTGTTTGACTTTTAGTCTGGTTCTAATATAAAACCCCAATCTACTTGGTCTTTTATATTTATCTATTTTTTTAAAGTAATCCTTATAGTAGTTGACTAGTTGCACATGTTAAAAGTTCTATCAAATGGTAATTCTAACTAATACACATAATTAACAAAGGTATTCTAATAAATACAACACATTTTTGTTGCAAATATCTAATTTAACTAATTTTTTAATCTCTCCATATTACTCAACTAGATTTTATATTAAAGACCAGGTATTATAGAATTAACTTTCTTTGTGAAATGACTTAATTTCTGTCACCGTCTTATTTATTGGTGTTATTTATTAAACTGAGTTGTCATTTTATTTTTTTTGCCTGAAAATTAAGGGTATTTACATGATCTCACTACAAAATTTAATTTCAAATTAGTCCTTAAGAGTTTACGGTAATAACGTAATTTCAAGATCTTTTGTGTCTTTCTCTCAATTAAATTATCTCCAAATTTATTACCAAGTCGGGCGCAGCCGGTTGGGCCGCTTGCTTCAAATGGTCCATAAATCTGGGCTTAAAATAAAAGACCCACGTGGCCAAGACTTTACATTAAAAAAAAAAAAGTATACAGGAAAAGACTAGTTTTTTACGGTGGCGATTTTGTTTTTGCCCGAATTAAGATTTGAATATGTGTTGAGAGAGATGTCTCCACAGCACCTTGAAAAGTATCATCTCCGTTCAAAAGAATGAAATGTGATGTTTGGCAACCTGAAAAGTATTATACTCCTTCACATATTTATTTTTCTAAACCGTAAAAACGCTTTTGAAACTATAGTTTGATTTACATCCAAATACTCCCGTGGTATATAAAAGATGTATCTAATTTTATAGGAAAAGATTGTTGGCAAAAAAAGTTTTATCCAAAAAACTTTCAATTTATTTTATTTTAATTTTTAATATTTAATATATAATGTTTAAAATTTTTTGACTGAATGAACTCAAGTTGGCCTTAACTTTCGATGAAAAACAATAGTTTCAACGGGACATGGCAAGGAAGTTTTAGGACTTTAGGTGATAATTCAAATGCCTCATGGGAACCGCTCTGAGAAGCGTTATAAAGCTCCAGCCCCTTCAACTTCTGCTTCCCTCGTCGTATAGCCTCGAGGAATTCTCAAAGTTCGTTTCTTTCCGGCATTCTCTTTCTATCTCTAATTCTTGGAGCCCCGCCAAACCCCGCCTCAGAGCTAAAACCCTTGGGTTTCTGAGTTACGCATCAATGGCCACGAGCTCACCGTTGCGTCATCAAGTGAGGGACAGGATTGAACTGTCCGATATGGAGAAGAAGATCTTTGATAGGCTCCTGGCTACCCTTCGCCAGTTCGGTTTGGAGACTCAGCTTCGAGTTGCTGGTGGATGGGTTCGGGACAAGGTATGTTGATCAACTGGGTGTTTTTTTTTTCCCCTTTTTGTGTAATTTGAAAATGCATTTTTTTAAATGACGATTAATTGTTTGTTGAAAGTATAAAACTATTGGGTGCTTGTTTCTTTTGCAGCTTCTGGGAAAAGATTGCTATGATATTGACATCGCTCTCGACAATATGATGGGTACTGAATTTGTAGATAAGGTGAGGGAGTACTTGTTGTCAGTGGGTGAGGATGCGCAAGGAGTCTGTGTTATTGAGAGGTATGTATAAGCTTCGCTGTAATTTCTATATTATCTGTAATGTGTTTTCGTTGAATGTCGTTTATATAATTAAAGGAGGATTTCTTTGGTGGTTGGTCCTGCCACTATTCTACTGGATAATTTTTCACACGGAACTTCAACTTTTGCAGTAACCCGGATCAATCCAAACACTTGGAGACTGCGAGGATGCGCCTGTTTGATATTTGGATTGATTTTGTAAACTTGAGGAGTGAAGAGTATGCTGAAAATAGCCGCATTCCTACCAAGGTATATGATTGGTACTTCTTTATTTTCGAATGGATTGTTTGTTCTATTAGGATTTCAAGTTTACTTATATGTTTAGTTTGGTTTGAAAATGAATATCATTAATAGTTTTCTTGTTAGACTGAGGGACTTTGTTTGGATGAAACTTTGCCCTTTTATTCCCATAATTAGTCACCTGCTTTAACTAGAAGTTGTTTTCATGTGCGATTGTGCCTTTCTTTCTTGTTTTGCTCAATGCTAAGTGTATTTTTCGCAAAGTTGAATGGTGTTCTGGAAATTGTTTAAAATGCACACTATCCAAGTCAAATGCCAGGATTAAAATTATATCTTGTGTGTAACAGCAAAGATTTGGCACTGCTGAAGAAGATGCGTATAGGAGGGACTTGACCATAAACAGGCATCTTTCTTTACTTATAAAATTTTTAACAGTTTTATGCACATGGCATGACAAAATTAACGATCATAAGATCCAGTTCCTTCTATTTATCTGTTGGTCACATGCGCATTTATATTTATTTTGCTCCTGCTCATATTCTGGAGGATAGTCTCATACATGGTTGTCCTTGACAGCTTATTCTACAATATCAACACTGACTCAGTTGAAGATTTTACTAAAAGAGGTGGAAACAGATCATAATTCCCTGAATAAGTTGTTTGGAGATGCACAATGCCCATTTATCTGTCAATCTGTTTTTCTTTTTGGTTCCCTGCAGGTATCTCTGACCTGAAATCTGGAAAGATAGTGACTCCTTTGCCTCCAAAGGAAACCTTTCTGGATGATCCATTAAGAGTTCTTCGAGCCATTCGTTTTGGTATGGCATAATTTTCATGAAGTGTTTGTTACTGCACATGCATATTATTGGTTAAATTTTCTTATGTGAGTTAAGCATGTGAATTAGTTTATCCTTTTCTAGCAAAAGCTACAGACATTGCTTGTGTACTATGCTTTGTTAGTGGACGAAGCCCTTCCTACTGTTCGTCTGGACTGATGAAATTCTCAGTTCTTGTAATTCCTAGCTTGTTTAGTGGAGACATTATTATTAGTTCATATGATGTGAAATCAGGACATTTCGCTCCCTGTTATGTTTGGGAATAAACAGATAGGTGTTTCATCAAGGAATAGAACCGAACTTTAGGCTGGAAGGCTAAAAATTTTTTTGTGTGAAGTTTAAAAGTTCGAGATCCATATCCATAGGCTATGTTTGGGAGTTTATGACGGAATAGAATGAAATGGAAGGTCATTTCATTCCAATGTTTGGCAGTTTAATGAGGTAATGAAAGGAGTCATTAGTGAAATGTAGTGATTGGCTTGTGAATATTCTTTACAATCTAGCAAGCTTTTAGCCAAGGAGGATAAGTTGTATTTGTACCTCATGTCTATTCCATTCCATTCTTGATCCCTCAGTTAGGAGGGACACAGCAATTGGGAGTTTGCATGATGAGCAGTGATCTTGGAGGCCATCCCGTGCTACTCCACTCCATCCTTAAAAAATCTATCAAACGTTGGCCGAATCTACTTCAACTCTTTCATTCTGTTATATTTCATCCCCCAAACATTTATACACGTGCCATTAGTTCTTGACACTATCACATAAACTTTTTGTGTTTGCTTCTGCTAATATTTTTATTGCGATCTCTTCTAAACTGTGGACATTGTTTAATATCATTGTAGGTGCTAGATTTGATTTTACTCTTGATGAAGACCTAAACTTTTGTGTGTTTGCTTCTGCTAATATTTTTATTGCTATCTCTTCTAAACTGGTGGACATTGTTTAATATCATTGTAGGTGCTAGATTTGATTTTACTCTTGATGAAGACCTGAAGAGAGCTGCAGCATGTGATGAAGTAAAAGAAGCACTGGCTGCTAAAATTAGCAGAGAGCGAATTGGAACAGAAGTACTTTTGCAATCTTGCATTTCACCTTTTTTGGTTCTTTGGAGTTTGTCTTGATTTCTTATGGAAAATTGCTTTTATTTACTCTATGCAGCACAGTTAGTTATTTATACTTTTTGTCTCTATTTTGTAGATTGATCTAATGGTATCTGGAAACCAACCTGTCAAAGCAATAACTTATATATGTGATCTGACATTATTTTGGGTTGTCTTCAGTCTTCCTCCCGGGTTTGAGCCTCCTATTACTGATGGATGTGACAGGTCTAGTTTATAAATTGGAGATCTGCATTTGCTCTTTATATCATGTTTTAAAATTTTGTATATTAATATGTTGGTACAACAGTGCAAAACCATTATTTTTCATCTAGACTATAAAATAAAATTATGATTAAAGTGGTAAAAACCCTATGCCTGTCTGTGGACATGAAACAGTTGGAATGACATACAATAAGATTATGCTTCTTTGATGTCTGAAGATTTCAAGTTCCATGGAGGTTTGGATATTTTGGCTGGTCATGCTGATCAATTGATAATTCTTCTTTATTCAGGCATTGCATTAATTACCTGGATACCACGTGGAATCTTATCCATTTAGTTGGAGAATCAAGCTTTACTGTAAGTAATGGTCTAAGTTAACCATTTTTACCTCATATTCTTGATTCACTTATTTCCCTAGTAACTAAGGAGTTTTGTTCAAGGTCATTCCTTTTCCTTTTTAGGTTTTCATGATAGTAAACAACGCTTTGCTGTGTGTTTTAGGATGAACAAAGGAGATTAACCCTGTATGCTGCTTTGTTTCTCCCCCTCAGAAGTACCGCTTACAAAGATAAGAAAGCTAAGGAGGTACTGGCCTCTTCTTATTTGATGTTGTGGTATAGTGGCTCATAATGCTAAGATGCAAAATGTATTTCTCGGGGCATGCTGAATTGTTCATATAGCATAACCTGTTGAAGTGTATGTTATACTTACAACTTATGTGTTCTTTTTCTTTTGGTATCTAATTATCGCCCTTCATGTTCTTTTCTTCTTGCAGCTATTATTTCAAGTAAATTGCTTGTTGGGTTGGCTAATATGTTTTTAATTGCAGATTCCCGTTGTCAATCATATCATCCGGGAGTCTCTCAAGAGAAAAGGTAAAGATGCAGAAAAGGTCAGTTCTCATCTCTACTGAGTGAATTCTGAATAGTTTACTGTATTCCGACTCCGGTTAATATTTGAATTATTTTGTTTGTTTGTGTTTGTTCTTCTTGATGCAGGTGCTTGAATTACACCAATCATCATATAAATTGATGTCATTAATCCCTTGTCTTGCATCAAATGGGGATGTCAATCTAGATGTTGATTGGATGAGGGATTTGGCTGATGTCCCTCTATCTTCTAGACTCCGTGTACTGACAGGTACCACATTCTTGCCACCTTGATGTTGTACCAGCATTTTGAAATTTCTTGGGCAGCTGTCAGATATAAGCCTCAGTTAATGCCCTGACATTTGGGCGATCCTTATGATTATGTTGATACGTTCTAATTTTGGTTTTTTCAATGGGTTTCTGTTGCAATTCAAGGAACCTTTTAAAATTTTTATACTATTAGGACCTGATAACAAATTTTTAGACCATAGAAACCTAATTCAAAATTCAAAATTGAGTAAAACTTAGGCACTAAAGACAATTTAACCGTGAAATTACAAGGAATAGGACGTGATAGTATGCTCACTCTACGATTGCTTGCCTGAAGGCTGAGCCTTTTTTATCTTACCTATGAGCATTTATGCAGGCTTTCTCTTAAGAGAACTTAAAGAGTATTGGCGAGTTGCACTTTTTATATCCACATTGGTACATCCCGTTGACATTGGTGAGGCTGAGGATGAGCACTCGCAGCTGTGCAAACGAAGAGATCTATTCAAGACTCTAGAGAATTCCATAATCAAACTAGGTGAGCTAAGTGCCTTATCTTATTCATTCTCCTATATGTGCTTATCTGGCAGTCTTAATACTTCCTGTCTCCTTCGCCTAAATCTTTCGAGGTCACGGATCGACATGTTTGGTAAATTGTAGGTCTGGAAAATATTTGGGACGTAAAACCGCTGATCAATGGGAAAGAAGTTATGAGTGCCTTGCAGCTTAAAGGAGGACCACTTGTGAAGGAATGGGTAAGCTATTGTGCAGCTACCATTGTTTCTGTACTGTTCAAATATGTTGTCTACAATTGCACTCACACAGGTATCTTTACTTTTGGATTCACTTTTGGCTCACAGCTTGACAAGGCAATGGCTTGGCAACTAGCTCATCCTTCTGGAACTGCAGAGGAATGCATTGATTGGTTGAAGGAAAGCAATTCTAAGCGTGTGAAAATGGAATGAGCTTCATTGAGTTTCTTGATCATTGATTCTCTTCTGTTTATGGCTTCAATGACTGAGACTGAGACATAACACAATAGAGGCAGCAAAGCCAAGCTAGTCCCCTGATATCGATACAAATACAACTGATACACACAAACACTTCATCTGGATGGGGCCTGGAAATGTACCACATCGAACTTCTTGTCAATAGAAAGATAAGAAGGTTCATATGGGAGCTATAGAATGTAATTTGAGGGAAGTATAATCAGATAGAACTCTAGGGTTTTGTTAGCTTTTTAGGCTTAGATTTTGTTAGCCTTCATCTTTTTTGTGCAAGATTCACAAGTTAGTTTCCTTGGTTATTTCACAGATGAGGTTTTATGATCTCAGGCTTTCCTTTTTAGCTGCTGAATGGATGTTCCGCATTCGTAGCTTGACAATAATCAAAAGAAATTATCGTTTAGTTATTTTAGTTTATCTTCATTTTCAACTGAGTCCTTGTATTTTATCTTGAAGTGTCATTCTCCTTCCCGTTACCCCTTCAAGTCACCTGTCCCCCTCCATGTGCGGGGATTGAGTTTCTCGACCATGGAGATCTAATTTGCATGGTCTGGATTTATGATTTTTTTTTTTTTGAAAAAATTGTTTTAATGGGCATATCATCCATGATCTTAAAGATAAGGCTAAAGTATAGGAAGGATTACAATGAGTTCCAAAAGAAAAATAATTACAAATTAAGTCTTAAAAGTAATTTTTTTTTTATTCTGAAACTTGTCATTACAGACTGTTTAGGTTGTTATTAAGATTTTTTTAATAATTATTTCCTTTTTTTTTAGATCTTATTGTAATTCTCCCTAAAATATATTGTTAGTTTTTTAACTTTGTGTGATGTTTCAATTTAATCCCTTAATTATAAAAGATATGTTTTTAATTTTTTTAACTCTACAACTATTAACAAAAAAAAAGACATTGAGAACTTGAACATTATGAGATATTAATATATTAAGATTGATTTTCAAAACAATCATGATTGTTTTAAAAAAATTATTATTTAAGATTAATAATTTGAGTTAAAAGATTAAAAATACATTTTTTTAAGTTAAGAGACAAAATTGAAATCCTATAACTGGTCTAAAAATGATTTCTCAACTATCAGTTTTTTTTTAAAAAAATGATTTTATTATTTAAAAATTATTAATTAAAAAGTTTTAATTTAAACTGTTAAAATTAATTTTGGACATTTAGACTGTTGAAATTATTTTTGAACAGTTCAGAAACACTTTGGGTTTGTTTTTCCTAGCAAGTAGATACATCATTGCAATAAACTCAGAATAAATCAAAAAGCAAACAACAAAGGTGAACAGGGGGGGGAAAAACACAAAATTCTGCATGTACATGATGAGTTTAATCTCAAGCCATGTCCACTTGTTTGGATTCTTTGTGTCGTAGTACTATGCTTTTTCACTTATAATTTTAAACACCAAATTTCTGCATGCATGTGGTGATTAACCATTTAATCTTACCTAAAAATTGAATCTAAATTCTTTACATACGTTTAGATATGCATGGAGGTTATATATGTTGTTTAGACTGATGAGTTGGGCAAGAAATTAAATTTGAGTGAATTAAGGAGTACAACTCTAGATTTTACGATGTATAAAGTAAGCATATGAGAAAATTTTTGTTTCAATTTACATAAAAACACTTTCTAAAAGTGCTTTTACGGTGATTCAAACTCCCCTTTAATTTCGCTAGTAAATATGACTCTTTTCTATATCTAAAATAAGAATTATTTATTTGGTTCTTAATATAAGACATATTTTTTTATTTATTAATTTTTCTTAAATTATACATATCCTCAACCATAATTAAATAGAAAAAAGAGGGAGGATATTAAAAAAGATTATTATAGTATTTTAGGAAAAAAATATTATATTTTTTATAATTAGCTAACTTTTCTGACTTTCTTAATCTAATTAAATTAGTTAAATAGATCTTATATTAAGAATAGAATAAATGCTATTTAGATTTCAAAATTCCATTAGAAAAATTTAATTATGAAAACTACAAGTGTGCATGGATATTTTAATTTAATTCAAATTTTAAAAGACACGTATTCCCAATATAAATAGTATTAGAAAAAACTTTAAATTGGCAAATTCACATAATCAATCCAAATTAAATTGTCAAATTGAGATCATCCTCTACCGATAATCAAAATCAAGTATCAACAATATCTTAAATGAAACAGAAAGTGAAACACGTCCATGCAAAAACGACCAAACTTGTAGCAGGGAAGGAAGGTTCCTTCATTGGATAGCGAAAGCGAAGTCTAAACAAGTGAAGAGATAAAGAACGTGCAGAAACATTGTGATTTGTGATTCCCATTTGGATCAATGATGAAGCATTCACTGGCGTTTGCGGTTCTTTTGATTTCCTTTTCGCTCTTCAATTCCTTATCGTTTTCTTCAGTTCAGCCTTTCTCGGTGGACGGGACGGTGTTGCAGTTGGATGAATCGAACTTCGATTCCGCCATATCGACGTTCGATCGTATTTTGGTTGACTTCTATGCTCCATGGTGTGGTCACTGCCAGCGTCTCTCTCCCGAGGTACCTTTCTTTCCTTACTTTCTAATATGCACTCTGAATAATTGCTGCGGATAATTTGACGGCGTTTGACAGTATTTAACCATTCATGTTTCACCTTTGGGTTTGAGAACGCTTATAGAAGTTTTGATTCACCTTGAAACTCATTAGGAAGTGTTTTTTCAAAAAAAAAAGAAATTAAAATGCGGGATTTATCGGTTCATTCGCATGTTGATGGATAGTTGCTTCAATTTGATGACCTGAGAAATGCCTTACTAATTTTAATCTATACATTTGGTAATGCTCGTTAAGAGATACAGTATTCGTGCTTCGAAATATTTAGTCATGCAGTCATGCGTAGACAGTACTAAAACCAGAGATGATTGGTTTAAGCCATGATGATGCATAGTTTTTCTTCTTTGTATTGCCTGACAAGACGACAACAGAGGAAAATTAAACATCCATCAATAATATGTGTTATTGATGCTAGACACAAGGTGCCAAGTTGTTAAATTTTGTCAATGACTTGATAAGCTTAAGATCATTTCATAGATCATGAGTTTTCTGCAAACGGTATTAGATATGTGATCTAACACAGCAAATCACTGTTTGACTTTTCTTATTCAAACATGCCTGATTGTGATTTATGTTTCACTTCAAGTGAGTAGGATGAAATATCTAATTTGTCACCTTGCAGTTAGATGCAGCTGCACCTGTACTTGCAGCCTTAAAGGAACCCATAGTCATAGCAAAAGTGGATGCAGACAAGTTTACCCGTCTTGCGAAAAAATATGACGTTAAGTATGTTTCTTTTTCCCTGTAAATTGCTTGTTGAATCGATATTTATTTCCAGATGATACTAATGTTGTTTTCCCACTCCAGTTTCCTTTGAAATGTGAAATGTCCATCGTGTTTCTCTTTGTTCTGGCCCCCATTTATTTCATCATTTTTTTGCAATTAAAATTTATTTTTAAAGGGAATTAGCTTAGAATATTAATTCTTTCCTTACTGGAAATGAACTTATGCTAAACTTTTATGCTGTGATGTAGTGCTTATCCTTCCCTTATGCTGTTTATACATGGTGTACCCACAGACTACCGTGGACCAAGGAAAGCAGATCTACTAGTTCATTATCTAAAGAAATTTGCTGCTCCAGATGTTACCGTTCTTGATTCAGATTCTGCTATTAATAACTTCATTGAAGCAGCCGGCACTTTATTCCCCATATTTATAGGTTTTGGGTTGAGTAGTTCTATGATAGAAAAGTCAGCCATTAAGTATAAGAAAAATGCATGGTTCTCCGTGGCAAAGGATTTTTCAGAGGATGTCATGGGATCACATCATTTTGATAAGGTTCCTGCTCTGGTTTCCATTAATCGGGATTACAATGAGTGGAGCACTTTATATGGGCCCTTTGAAGGTTAGTTTATACTCAGATCTTAAATTGTTTTATTTAGATATTAAATATCACTTCCCTGAATCTCTCTCCTCTCTTATGCATTTCTTCATGCCACTGCATCGAGTTTTACAGTTCCTGGAGTTTTTGCTGGAATCTGTTTCTCTGTTTATGATATTTTGAATAATTTGTTCCTTATATTTGCTTTTCTAGAACAGATGTCATTAGGTTCCACTTCTAGGTTGAATATAAAGATAAAGAAAATCCTTCAAAAGATGAGAGTAAAAGAGCAGCAGAATGTTAAGTCCTTCAATTTTTCCCACTTCTATGTCGGTGATGGTACATCTCTACTTCCGAACAATATAAGAGTGATGAAGCCAATATCCCAATATACTGTATATATTTGAAATGTTCTGTTGCTTCAGTAGAAACCAACATGGTGTTGTGAGCTTATCAAAACGTACTAATACATACCACATTGCATGTTGTGACACATTTGTGCTGTCCTTCAATTTTAATATTTTAAATGCCTCAACTTCAATGCATCATTTTAAATTTTCTTGGTATTGTTCATGTCTTCAAAATCAGAGAAGTCATTGGAAGATTTTGTGAAACAAAACCTGATTCCCTTAGTGGCACCTGTATCCTTTGACACACTAAAGTTGATGGAAAGTGATGGGAGGAGAATTGTCTTGACAATTTTCGACGACGAGGATGAAGAAAGATCAAAGAAATTCATTAAGCTTTTAAAGGCTGCTGCATCTACAAATCGTGACTTAATATTTGGTTATGTTGGTGTTAAACGGTTGGAAGATTTTGCTGAAAAATTCAACCTCAATAAGTTACCAAAGATGGTTGTTTGGGATGGAAGTGATGACTATCTATCTGTAAGTTAATGTTTCATACCTTGAAAGAATTTCTGTTTCGTCAAGTTCGCTCCAATTTTATCTCACTATATGATAATCGGTTTCCATTTGTTTTACTTAGAGGTGTAATCTCAAGTTTACCTCTTTGTCTTGCTCTGAGACTCCTTATCCCTTGCATGCCTTATCAACATCGATATATTGCATATATTGGGTACTTGGTATGCGAGCATGCTAATAATGGTCCTTTGACCATTGGATCCCAAATACAGGGATCGATGATCTGGGATCTTACATAATGTTGGTGTACTAAATGCCTCCATAATGTTTATGGCTACCAAGTTTAGTGTTTTTTCATCGTCAGTCTCATGATGGTTTGGTGATGGTTGGTCCTCAAGATATGTAATTAAACTAAATAGGCGCTACACTGTTTTCTGACTAAAACTTGAACGAGACGATTTTCTAGTTTCTAGATCAACAAATGGGAATACAGAAAACTAGAGACATGTAATTAAACTGCTTTCTAATGTGCACTGTGCAGTATGATAATGATTTGCCCCTTGTATACATACGACTGTGCAGTATGATAATGATTCGCCCCTTGTATACATGCTGTCAATTTGTCCTTTTCCTAAGTGGAATTTTCTGATACGTTCTGGCCCTTAATTAATACATTTGGTCCTTTGATTTCCCTTGTGTTTTTTCCACTATCTAACTTCCTTCTCACGGTACACAAGCACATGAATTGTATCTGTGTTTTAAATCTGCTGGCTGATTTTTTTCTTTTGCCATTAAAATTTCCTCAGGATGGAGACTAATACAGTTTTTATGACCTACAGGTTATTGGTTCAGAAAGCATTGATGAGGTGGATCAGGCAACTCAAATCAGTAAATTTCTTGAAGGATACAGGGAAGGCAGAACCACACAGAGAAGACTCGGTGGCCCATCGCTCTTGCGTGCGATGAAAAAATCTTCAGCCATCAGAATCTTGTATGTCTTTATTGCCGTGATTGCAATATTGATGCTTCTGCTAGTCTTTTATAAAGGAGAAGATGATGAGTACCAGAGGGTACTCAGTGAAGGCCAGGTTGATCATGCTAGCTGCTCTGCCTTGGAGGCTGAAAGCAAAGAGTATAAACCTGAAGATAAAGAAGATTAAACATTTCATTGACATTATTATTACATATGGATCTGCTTTAGAATTGAAACAGTTATTGGCATCAGGTAGATATCATTGGCTGCAGAGTTTCACAACTTTTGTGTAGTCCAGAAAAATTCCGCATTTTATTGATGCATTTAGGTATTTATTGCAATCAATATGGGTTTAGTTATGCTAAGATGTTCTGGAGATTATAACTATCAATGCTGATTATTATTTATTGCAATGGTTTTTCTATTTAGTTTTACAATTTTCCGAAATGTATCATTCTAGTTTAGCATCTATAATGTATAGTTGAATGAAGCAGATGTACTTGTAAATACGGTGCATGGACCATACTTGTAAATAGACACTCATTCATATCACTTTGTACTCGTCCAATATTGATTAATATTTAATACTCCTCCAGTCCTTAGAACCCAATTGTTGAGTTGGTTTTGGTTCTAAATATAAGACCCATTTCTCATATTTATCAGTTTCCTCTAAATTACCCCTATGGATGCTCTCTCAACCATAATCAAGTAAAAAAGAAAGAGGAGGTATTAAAAAAGATAATTATGGTATTTTAAGAAAAATATGTCACATTTCTTATAATTAACTAATTTATCTAACTTTCTTAATCTAATCAAATTAGTTAAATGGGTCTTATATTAAGGATCGGAAAAGTACAAACTTTAGCCTCTTAAGTTTATCTTTATTTTGATTTTAGTCTTTCAAGTTTTAAATTATAAGTTTTAGTTCCTCAAATTTCTTTTTATTTATAACAATGGTGCCTATAATCCTTTACTTAAATCATTTTGCCTTTTAAGGGATCAAAACCTATAATTTGAAATTTGAGAGATCAAAATCAAATTGATAATAGAATATGCCTCTTTTAGGTTTGTAAGGTATGACGGAAAAAATGTCCCATGAGTATATGCTGTAATGTAAATTGTTGAGGTTATTTTATTCATATGTTTTGGGCATTCATAATATAATTTTGAAATGTTTAAATACTTGATTTTTTTTATTTTTTAATAAGTCAATTTATTGATTATACAAAAACAAACTTATAAAGATACAAAAATAATTTTTGACCAAGAACAGATACAAAAATAATTTTATATAGATGATGAGGGGTTATAGCCTTATCGGTTTTCTCTTGCCTTGTATTTTGTTTTTCGTTGTTTTGTTTTAATGACATTTTCACTTTGGCCAAATTGAGTTGACTTGTGAGCAATGTTTTAAAAGCCGGATCGGAAGTCGAACCGGAAAGATCAACGGGTCATGGTTCAATCGGTCGGATCGGTCGGACCGTTTGGTCAGACCGGTGATGCAATAATTAATTTAAAACAATATTATATACATATAATTAGTATATATGAAAAATATCAAATTATTAAATAATTTAGAAATGCATTTAAATAATCTAAAATTATAATGAAATCATTGAAAATGGACTAAAACCTTATATATTTAAATTTATGTATGTTTAAAATATTAATGATATTACAAATTATCAATTCATTCAAATCAAAATATTTTTTTAAACGATAGACCAAATATCAAAACAAAAAGACTAGCGACTTACGATTTTAACACCACAATATATGAAATTTTCAATGAAATAATACTCTATAGTTATAAATAGTCTAAAAATATATTAGGATATTTAAGGGGATCAATTTTTTTATTTCTTCTTTTTTTTATTAAAATTTTTAGTATTTTTTCAGTCAGGCTAAAAAACCGTCCGGTTTTCTGAAAACCGTTCCGGTTCCCGGTCCAACTCCGGTTTCCGGCTTAATAACGGCTCAACTCCGGTCCAATCCGGCTCAATTATATGAACGGTTTTTTAGTCCAAACCGAGCCGTTAACGAGTCCGGGTCACGGTTCAACCGGTTCGACCGTCCGGTCCGGTCCGGTTCTTAAAACTTGCTTGTGAGTAAGCTTGAATTGCGAAAAAAGAAGGGGGGGGGGGGGGAAAACATTAGAGGCCTATTTTGTTGACCTTTAGAAAAAAGTGTGCAAAAACCATGTCCTCAAATTGTTTTGTCCTCGTACAGGTTCAAACAAGAGAATATTTTACTTAAAGTTGCATAGAGTAATATTTTTTAAAAAATTAAGGAAAAAAATGTTTTAACAGGTTTTTTGTTGATAAGAGATAACCGTGATGTCATTCACTTGAAAAAATAATTTCAGTTGCTGATGAAGAGAAGTGACAGAAACCTAATGGCCTATTTTGAAAAACTGTTTAAGGTTATTTTTAAAATCTGTGCAGAAGAGATCAAAAAATATATTATTTACAATAAACAGGATAATTTTTTAATTACATTATGCAAAACAATATATAGAGATAAAATTTTGAGTATTTAATATAACTAAAAAATAAGATCGAAGTATTGGATACACTAAAAAAATAAAATCAAGATACTGAATGCATAATAGGTAAAATGACTTGATGCATATAACAAATAATATTAAGATGTTGAATATACTTTTGCCTTAAAATTGTTACTAAATTTCTAGATTTTATATTTTTTATACAAACTTTATGCTACACCTACTGATACAATAAAATAGTGATTTTAATACAGTACTAATAAATTATGACAAATAATTTATGTTAATGATTTTAATAAAATAATGATTTCATTTAAGGGTTGTTTTGTTTGTCCAATTTATAACTCTCAACTTGTCTCCAAAAAATTTTTAAGCATTGTTCCAGATAAGAACAGAGCAAGTCATAATCACAGCTTCATCCTTCGAGCGCGTTGGCTTATTCACGAAATTAAGCTCCCTTACCAAACAATCCAAGTGGTCCAGCTTTCATCGATGAATCAATTTGATCTCGCTTTCCCCCATAATTATTAATTATTGGTTAATTAATTCATTGATTAATCAGTTTTGGATTAATTTGATTACTTTCCCTTTCAGGTCGTACATACGCGAGCGACCCTTTCGGACTAATCTGGTCCCTTTGGCGGCGTCATATACGTTTTTCCAAGTTCCGATTATCCGCAACGTTTGGCCATTTTTTTATTTAAAATTTTATTTAAATAACGGGTTTTGCCTCTTTTTTTTTTTTTCTTTTGCCTTGAGCTCGAAACAATAATTGCCTATTATTATAATGATATTTTTGGTTTTCTGATCAATATTATGTTTTCGTAATTACCATTCGAGTGACAAACATCTTTATCAGCAAAAATCTGATTCGTTTTTCTCTAAAATCTTCCTTTTTTATGTCAAGAGAGCAATCAATTTGATACAGGTAGTGGCAGGGGCATCTAAGAATAGAAGATCCGTTTGATTCTTCTGAGAGATGGAAGCTGATGTATCCATTCTGTAGTATTTCTTTGCTAAACCCTAAATAGCGATAATCCCATCTTCCTCCGCCTCTGTTTTGGATGAGTTTTACCGATCAATTTTTGCCTTTTTGATAGTCAAAACGGTTGCTTTGATGAGAACGATGAATCTTCTTGTGTTTTTGTTATTCTCTGTAACGGCTTCATGCTATATGGCGGTGGCCAAGGTGGTGCTGATTGGGAACAACGTTACTCTATCCTTCGACGACATTGAAGCTAATTTTGGTGAGCCTGTTGGGGTTTTTTCCCCCTGTTTCCTTTTACACTAGGCATTCTCTTTGGGACTGGGAATTCAGATGAGCTAGGAGCATGGATGCTTTGTAATAAACTCGATGTTGTTGAAGCTGATTGTAGCTTAGTTCCTGGCATGTTGAGATTTTGAAATTTGAGCATAAGTAGGACTTTTCTGCAGCTTTATAGTTGGAAAACATTTTCATCCGAAATTTTTTGTATTAAATTTAGGATTTCATCTGAAAAGATAAAAAGGAGTAAGTTGATTTGCGGAACGAGCAGAAAAAGTAAGAAGGGGGGGTATAAGCATACTTTTGTGGTTGTTAGTGTATGAGACTACCTTTTGTGATGAAACTTATTTAAATCATATGCCTGTTGTTACAAAGCCAGCGCTATCTTCTTGTTTGCCTGTATTTGTGTCTATGGGAAGAAATGGAGAAGAAAGTCAATGCGATGTTATGTATGTGGTGTCTTTAAATCCACCCACCCTTTCCTCCTCTCTCTCTTTCTCTCTATACACATCATCCATCCATCCATCCATCCATCCATCTCTTGACATGAATGGCATTTTGATTTCAGCTCCAGCGATGAAAGGTTCTGGAGAATGCGGGGTCTTGTATATTGCAGAGCGGTTGACGCATGTACAGAACTGACAAATAAAGTTGAACCGCTTTCAAATACAAGTTCACCTTTTGTTTAATAATTAGAGGGGGGTGCAGCTTTGAAGACAAAGTCAGGAGAGCACAAAAGGCTGGCTTTAAAGCCGCAATTGTCTATGACAATGAAGATGATGGTGTCTTAGTTTCAAGTAATGACCAATTCCCTCATCTTGGCATTGTGTGGTTTCATGTTCTTCCTAAAGTTGGGAATTTTGTTATACACTGTTCTGTGTGGTAAAATGGCATTTTACAAATCAGAGAATCTAACCAACATTTGCATACATTGTAACTCTGAAAATGAGTTTTTAATGTTGCTTATAGGAATTGCCACAAAAGAAAGTTTTTAATATGATGTCACTTCACATAGCATTTAAAAATCTTTATACTACATGCATGTTATTTTCAATACCATATTCCTGGCTGATCTAAGCAGCACTAAATTTTAGCCATTTCCATGAACTATGAAACTGTTTTGTTAATTTCAATATTTCACATTTGAGAATTGAATGGTTCAAAAGCACTATATTGCACATTGTTCTAAATTTCTTTGGAAATTGTCATATCTTAGGAAAACATTTCCACGTAGCTTCTTTTTTCCCTTCTTGAAAGTTCTATGTTTCTGCATCTGATGTGTCCCTAAATACATAGCTGGCAGAACATGTGACTGTCAATATTTCTGTTTGGCATCTATTTCTCAAGGAAATGCTATTTGAGATCCATATGATGGTTGAAAAGTATCTTATTACATCTATAGCTAGATATTTGTGCGTTTCTCTCTCTCTCTCTATATATATA